TCCTGCTCTACGCCGTGGTTTTGGCTCATTACTTTATGAGAGTGAAAGCATTACACAAGTATCAGGGAAACTATCTTTCAGATCTTTCCAGCTCAGCCCCCAGAAGCCAGTGCAAGTTGGAACAAAGGCAGGTGCTCCCAGCAGAGCAGTGTGAGCCAAACAGGCAAATGAGCCTCCTGGCCTTGGAAAAGAGCAGAACTCTGCAGAGTGGAGGTTGGGAGAGGCTCCCCAGCCTGCCAGGAACACATCCCTGCACCACAGGGAAACACTGGAGCATTGGGCGAGTCAGAAACACATTGCAGTGTGGAAAAAAAACTACCACCCAAACCCTCAAACCCTTTACCTTCAACTGTTCCTGGTCCCATGTACTCTCCTGGGCTTGAACATCCATATGCTCTCCTGGTGCTGGTCAGAGGTGTGGGCTGAGAGGTGATCATTAGTGCTAATGAGAGATCCTGTACCTGCAGGAGGGTGCTGTGCTCTCCCCAGCATGGTGCTGGGCTCACTGTGGGTACCTGATCTGGCTTGGCCATCTCTCATCCCCATGGACAGTGGTAAGAGCTCCCACAAACCCTGACCAGAGGGTCTGCAGGACCTCATCCAGCACCAGCAGAGTGCTAACCCAGAGGTCTTTGCTTGCTGGTCTAACTTCCAGAGAGGCTACCTGGGAGCAAACCAAGAGCCCACTGAAGTCCTCTGGTTTTATCCTGCCCCACATCCTGGTGGGGGTGGGGCTGAAGAGGAGCACCTGTCCCTCGTTCTCACACTCCTCAATGCAGAGTTCTATCAGGTGTGAGCAGGACCACCCATGCCCTGCCAGGGCTAGACCCTCGCAGAGCCCCTGATGGTTCATCACATATTTGTTTCTTTGTGTGTCACAAAATACTCCGCATCAGCTCCTCACAGCTCCTGAGCTGACAGAGGAGGGGTAAGACACCTGCCTTGCCCTGGGACGCTGAATGCCAGAGGAGATGCCAGAGCTCCTTGAGCAATACCACTGCTCTCTTGTCCCAGGACAACACTTTCTAAACACATTCTCAGACACAACGTCCCTAAAAGGCTGTTTTTTCTCCCCAGTACTGGGCTCTGACAACAGTGAGCACTGCATGTACAGCAGGGGAGGGCACTGGAGCTGGTGGAGACCTCCTGCCACGTGTGCCAGTCTGCAGGCACTAGCATGTCTGGGTGGCTCAGCCAGCACGAGGGAGATGGTGCCCCAGCAGCCTGGCTGAGGCTTCAAAGGCTGTGGGATGTCCTCAGCCACCCTGAGCTTTGCATGCCCAACCGCAGGTTCTGCCCCTGGCAGTTGGCATCTGTGGGCATCCATCCTCTAGTGCCGGGAAGGTGCATGTGACATCACCTAACATCTTCTCTGCCACAGCATTTGAGGTCTCAGCACAGAGTGGGATTGCAGCCAGTACACCCAGAGCAAGCCGTGCTTCATCTCCCAGTGCATTTCCAACACCAGCACTGGGCTGGTGAGGGTGAGACCCCCCAGCAGCCCTACAGACCCCCAGCTCCAGCCTGTCCTGGGCACCTTCCCCAGCCACAAGCATTGCCACGAGCCCAGTTTGCCCAGTGTGTTCCGTGGGTGGCAGTGGGGCAGCTTTGCCTTTTGTTTTTCCTTCCCTTTGTCTGTCAGTGTTGGAGGTTTCCTCTGCTCTGTCTCATTTTTGGATGGAAATGCAACTTCCCTCCAAGCTGCTGCTGGGGACCATCCTCTCACCTCCCTGCCCAGGCCAGCTCACAGCCCTTCCTGCCTGGATTTTGCACAGTTTCACCTCTTTCAGATGAATAAAGACTCGACATTATACGGACTAGATCAGCAAAGGACGTTAAGAATGGACTGGAACATAACTGCAAAATACAGCATGTCCAATCCAATTTTTTCTAGCAAATGAAACGGATCTGGTGGAAAATAAATACAGAACTTCCAGGAGCAGCGTCCTTGAAGAGCATTTGAGGAGGATGAAGAGATTTGAATGGATCAACCCTTTACACCTCTGCACATCCCTCCTCCCTCCCTTAAATGCCATCTTTAATAGAAATAAATTAGAATAAACGATCAGCCCTTGCCTCCTAAAGACAGGTGGCAGGGTAATATTAAAAGAAATGAATAAAAATTCATTTAATGAGCATTGTTAATTAAACCTGGAAATCAAAGAGGTCTGAGTTGTGGGAATTCAGAGGAAAAATGAAAATGAAGGGAGCTGTAGCTCGGGGCAGGAAGAGTGGAATTAAATTAACTGCAGTGTGGGGTTGTGTTTGTTGATGTCGATCACACATCACAGTGTGTTACGGCTGGGGGTGAAGGGTTTGT